GGCTACAACTTTAACATGGGGATGGAATGTCTATTACTTTCTAAAAAACTGAAACCCTAAACTAAAATTATGGCTTCAACATTCCCTAGTTCTCAAAATTATCTTTCTTTCAACACAAAAATCATGAAAATTCGTCAACTGGTTGATTCAGAATCGTGAACTAAAAAACCCTGTCACGTTTTAATATATATGATGGTTTGGACTATTTACTTTCAGGTTAAGGACGTGATTTGCTTGTGTTTTCCATCTATAGCGTTTCTGATATAATAACTCGTGGTACTCTGAAAATATAGTTAGTGATTTGACCACGAAACCAGATTGATTTCCTTTCCTTGTGAAATTATAGTACTGTACTTGGTTTGTTGTCTATTATTGAATAAAATAACACGCGGGGAGATACAAAATACAGTACATATATATCTAGGCAAAATAAAACAAGGAAGCTACGCGTTCCTCGATATAGTGCTAAAGTATAGTGGAAAAGGTATATCAGACCCGGGTCTGGGTCTTAACGTGTCTAGGAAACCATAGCCTTATAGCGAATTTCCTTATAGGGAAGTAGCTATTATCGTAGGTGGCATGGTAAAGCCTCGTTCACACGTATCGACTTCTCGCCGTGCGCCGTGCACGGCTCGGCGCAGTGCATTCCTGAACCCGTGGACCACACGACTCGCGCCGTGAACAACACGACTTGCACCGTGCGAAAATGACTTCTTGCCACATTTCTTCAGTCTGTCAAAATGGATAACCAAACAAGTACGCTATTTTATACTTGCTACATCGTCAAAGCAAAAGGAGGCGTAATAAGCTAAAGTGGGTACACCCTATAAACGTGCAAAGGCCAGTAATAGGAGCATTCATTCTTCTTTTCAGTTCTTTTCTTTTCTAAGAAAGAACGAAATAGTCAGGTTGGGTAGCAGGAAAATATTTCAGTTCTGGCGGAGAGGCTGCAATTTTAGGTGGTTATAGGATACAAGTTTCTGAACCTAAAACCGCCCAGACCCCAATTTTTAAGGACCTCGGTCGTCCGTAATGACGTCATCAAAATGGCGGCCGTAAGAGGATGCTGGGTCCCCATGAATTGGCTATAACGACCGAATGCCTGAACCGATTTTCATGAAATTCGGCACACAAGTGCTTGAATACACTATCTCGGCCTGGGTTGAAAATGGTCAAGTTTCATCAAGTCATTTCAAAATGGCGGCTGTTCAAAACTAAAAAAATATGAGGAAAAATAATTGTGAATTGTTTTATACAGGGTGAGTTTTAAATGAGTCCCCCCCCCCCCTACTTTTTTATACATTTCTTAAGATATCAACTCCGAACCACGTCAGATTATTGTAGAGTAGCAAGTACTTCATTTTGACTGGGTTTAAATTTTTGGCCGCCATCTTGGATCTGCCATATTGTATATAAAGTTATTTTTTCAAATATAAAGGTAGGGTTGTGACCCACCGTTTCAAACAAGACTTTTACGCTGAATACGATGCTGCAATCCGTTTAAAAAAATGTTGATCCATTCTAAAGTTATGAGAACTTTTTATAGCTTTATTTTTAGTCCATTATAACATTAAGTCCATTTACAAACTAAGGCCATAATCTCAAAATAGTGCTAGATAAAGATAAGTGGACACCACCATTCATTGTTGACTTATTTCACTCGGTTATGACTGATGTACTTTTTTCAGCCGCCATCTGGATCCGCCATTTTTAAATGTGATAAATTATTTTAAGTATGAAGGTGGTGTTGTGACCCATCATTTTAAACTACTTTTTATGCTGAATTTAATGCCGCAATCCGTTTTTCATTGTCATATTTGGTTTTTGAAATATTGACGTTTTTAATAAATATAATTGTAATATTTTATCAAGAAAGCTTGATAACAAAAAATGGATAAAATAATTTATCACATTTCAAAATGGTGGATTTAAGATGGGGCTGAAAAAATACATCCGTCATAACCGAGTGAAAATAAGTCAACAATGAATGGTAGTGTCCTCTTATCTTTATCTAGCACTATTTTGAGATTATGGCCTTAGTTTGTAAATGCACTTAATGCTATAATGGACTGTTATAAAAATAAAGCTATAAAAAGTTCTCATAACTTTAGAATGGATCAACATTTTTTTAAACGGATTGCAGCATCGTATTCAGCGTAAAAGTCTTGTTTGAAACGGTGGGTCACAACCCTACCTTTATATTTGAAAAAAATAACTTTGTATCCAATATGGCGGATCCAAGATGGCGGCCAAAAATTTAAACCCAGTCAAAATAAAGTACTTGCTACTCTACAATGATCTGACATGGTTCGGAGTTGATATCTTAAGAAATGTATAAAAAAGTAGGGGGGGACTCATTTAAAACTCACCCTATATAAAACAATTCACAATTATTTTTCTCATAATATTTTTAGTTTTGAACATCCGCCATTTTGAAATGACTTGATGAAACTTGACCATTTTCAACCCAAGCCGAGATAATGTATTCAAGCACTTGTGTGCCAAATTTCATGAAAATCGGTTCAGGCATTCGGTCGTTATAGCCAATTCATGGGGACCCAGCATCCTCTTACGGCCGCCATTTTGATGACGTCATTACGGACGACCGAGGTCCTTAAAAATTGGGGTCTGGGCGGTTTTAGGTTCAGAAACTTGTATACTATAACCCCCTAAAATTGCAGCCTCTCCGCCAGAACTGAAATATTCTGCCACTATATGCAGCTATACGACCCCACGAATTTTTATGGAATTACCAGCACGGAAGTTTTTAAACACTTCAGTCACCATAAAAGTATGGAACAAAGTTAGGGTTAAGGTTTTTTTTAAAAACTAAGTTTTTCTTTAAAGACAAACAATTGTCAGATAGTAACAATAGTTGCAATACGTCTTGCAGGTAAGCATAGTTGGCAGCATAGCGTGGTCCGACAACACATTGAATCAAATTAGAGTGGCCACACGGGGCGATCCTAAGCCGCCTGGGCGGATTGTCCGCGCCATGTCGCGGATTGTCCGCGCGATCATAAGCCGCGTTGGAGGGGATGACACACGTAGTCTTATGAGAGTGGCCACACGATACGGATTGTCCGCGTGGTTGGAGCTCGTTTTCAAGCATTTGTAGTGGTTTTTTTTTTTAGTTTGTGCTTGTGCATTTCGGTTTCTAGGTGTAAAATGTTCGATACAGACAAATCAATAGAACTTGTTAAAGACAATGTGGGATTTCTCATGTTGTACATTTCTCATCAGTATATCTTCCTTAGTTATATGCGGTCAAAGCAATTGAAGTAGCTCGTCAAACGATGCTATCTACATGCGATAGTAACAAAAAAACTCCGAACTATGGTTTCGCATGCGCTCGTAAAAGGTTTGGAACACAAATGGTTTATTGGTTATGAAAGGATGGACCCAATGATTTCGATAAACCTTAGGCTCTAGCTCACCACACGCTTCTAATGCACAAACTAACATAAGTGTTTCGTCCATGACTACAACTAGAACGAGTGAATTAAGTTCAACCATGTTCTAATCTTACAGTACGTAGGCTGGGAAACCTCAACCGGAAGCGGTTCATCCGCTCCGTGTGGCCGGGACATCATCGCGCGGCTTATGATCGTACGATCATAAGCCGCGCGGACGATCCGCCACGTGTGGCCCCGGCCTAAGAGACCATGGTGTTCAAGAGGTCGAGTACGGCGCGACGCCGCGTCGTCGCTTGAAGAAGGTCGTGATGTCCACGGTTTTTTTGTTGGACTATTTACTTTCAGGTTACGATGATTTAGATAATGGCATGGGTATTTTGGTATTACAAGCTTCGAAGGAGCGTAAGCAGTGAAAAGTACATGTAGGAACTGTATGGCCTTCACGGATGTTTTAACTTTAGTATTATTAAAGCAAACATATCAATTTAAAATGTAAAAAACAATAAATCTTAATTTACTCTCTCTAAATTTGCTTTTTACCTATTCGGGATTTACCTAGTCGATCGAAGTACCTTTTACAATATAACAAATATACTATTTATGTATTTGGAGGACAAATACGTAAACTTCTGTTAGAATCAAAAGGGACTTAAAATAATAATGGGGGCTTTTATATTAGGGAGTTGGTGTTGTGTTGTTGACTTGAGAAGAGCATTTTGTCAAAATTAGGTTTATTTACAAATTACGACGATAAGAAAATATATGAGAATAATTAACTTTAGGGAACATGTAACAATAGAATTAAATATTAAAATTACACTTTATGAGGACACTACACAAAGAATGATAAGAAATGAAATGTAATATACTATAAAAATTGTAATTATATGAACAACTTACTCCCATTATTGTCATTAGAAGAGACAATTTCAATAAATTGTTCATTGTTGTTGGAGTATTTTGCCTTCTGTACAACATTTACTTCCGACTCCATTGCACAAGAAATGTCTGTTACGCAGCGTAACTCAGATTCGACTGCTCTTTGCTCTGAAAGCGGTCAGTCAAATACGCAGCTTTTGGTGCGCGCGCACTTGATACGCAGCTTAACAGCTTAGAAAACCGCTTATACGAAACTCCATAAGACAAATGTGCTGCGTCCTACTCCTAGATGCGTAAACGCAGCGCATCTATTACGCGTCTAGGAAACCTGGAGTTTTAAAACACACAACGCTGTTGTTGGGTGCCCAATACATGCTCATACTACATTGTAACACAACCAAATGATGCTCTGGCTCTGATAACCTTTCCTAGCCTAAGCAAACTAATGAAATTTAGGATTTGAGATGGTAAAAAAGGGTGAACTTAACTCTATGGCATAGATTGTTTCTTTACAAAGTAGTTAGTATTGCCCAAACGTTATTGTTCTATTTTACCTATCTAAAACCAACGACATGAACATTTGATTTTTTCACGTTGGCTATCTTGGAAAATAATTGTTATTGCCATGTTTGATCATCATCAGATGAATTTTGAAAAGAAGAAGAAAAGAACTCGATTGAATTGAAATGAAGGTGTAAGGTGTAAACACTAACAATGGGGGTCTAGGTCTAGGTGTAATTTGGTAGTTTTGTGAAAATAACTATCCTGGGATAATTTTGTGCAATAATGTGATTACATTTTAGATATTTACGTATGTTTTATAAGATATTATTAAATTTATTGCTATTAGTTACCTTTCTTCTAATACTTTATGTTATTCAAACGAACAAACAAATTGATGTGTTTCACAAGTCTTACAATGAAGAAAATGCTGAGATCCTCAATGTTTCAACCTCCGTGAGCTCCGTTTTATTTGCAACAACTAGGGTGAAAAATGTTTCGGTTATTGATCAGTACTTTAACATTTGGTGTATATTTACTAAAGTCAAAAATAGAAGTTCATCATTAAAATACAAGTTTAGCACACTTATAACCTCAGTCCTACAACACTCCAGTGTCAAGCTCTCGTTTCACATTATATCTGATGCTAAAAGTAAATATTTTGCCCAGATTTTGTTTGATGACATTCGCATTTCTTCAAAAGTCCATGTCGATTTTAAGGTAAGTCTTCATACTGAATTCCTATAGCCTATCCTAGCTGTGTGTCAAACTGTGTTCTTTAAAACCTCTGAACCTAGGGCAGGTACACTTCCATACCTGTTGGCACAAACAACCCAATGAGAATGAAAATATCGATCGCTATATCGATTATTCGATATATCGTTCGGTTAGCTAGGTAAGGTAAACCTAACCTAAACAAACAATATATCGAATTAAACAATCAAATAATCAATATTACTCATTCGGTTGTTTGTGCCAACAGATATGGAAGTGTACCCCCTACGGCTTAAGGCTAGTCTTGATAGTCATTTACAAGCTAAATTTCACCTCTAGGCCAATGTTTTAGACAGTTTTATAGCCTATAGCGTGAAAATAAAGGTTTTAAAATTACAATTAGGCCTATTTATGTTTTAACAGACGAGACGAGAGTCTAAATATTGAAGAGACTAGGCCTAGGAAACATCTAGAGTCTTGTGTCACACGGAGTTTTGGTCTCTTATCATTATCAATCAAATTTATCGACATTAGGGCCTAACCAAACTTTGTGGCTACTTATCTCAATAAACCATTGTTGCGGCTGCACTTAAGTATCTGTCCTAAGTATTTACACTCATTCGAATGAATATATCGATCAATATTAGGTAGGTAGGCCTATATCGATTACCGTACCTTCATTCGGTTAGTTAAGTTAGGTTAACCTAACTAACCAAACTTGATATAACTTAAGTTATCAAATGAAATAATCGATATATTGATAATGTCATTCGAATCAGTATAGGACAAGCTAAAGTCTAGCTAGGTAAAGTTTAGCTATCAGTACCAATATTTTTCTAGTTTGAACCGTCAATAACCATGTTGGAGTCAGTTAACTTTGTAACCTATTAATATCTAGAGCTTAACTTAGGCATATTGTGTTTTGAATAGGCCTACTAAACATGTTGTTAGGGAAAGGTTAAAAAAAGTATTTGAGCTGTAAGTTAGCCTACTGGGTAGACCTTTGACAGCATGAGATCAAGGATAATTTGGTACTTTCCAATTAAAGGGAACATTCATTAACTTATTATCGATGATTTCTTTTCGATATAGCCTATCAATATTTTTTCTATCCGATATATTGATTATAACAAATTGAAACATATCAGTTGACAACTACGATAAGGATACAGTACGGTAGTCCTAAATAAATTGTTCAGTATCTACGAACAGTTAAAAAAATATTATGCCTATAATGAAATATAGAACTGTTCTAAACTAACCTAACAAACCAAACTTGCTGTAACATTTCAACATTCCGTTTGATAGCCTATTCCCCAAATGCATTTTCCGTTATCAAACAGAATTTTGAATCGGTAACTTAGCCTACAGCAAGTTTGGTTAAGTTAAGTAGGCCTAGTTATGTTAGGTTAGTTTAGAATAAGTTAGTTTCATTTCATAATCGAATACCGGTATAACTTAGGCCTATCATGGGCTATTATTTTTGCCTGAACAAGGTTAGTTCTTCATTTGTAATTTAAATGCGTTTGAAGATATTAAGACAGAAGGAGTACGGATTGTGAAGTTAAACAAAAATATCGATATATCGAAAATAGACTAAATCATCGTTAATAATGAAAGTTCCCTTTAACAGGAAAGTACCGATAATTTTCTCATGTAATTCTCACCCACCCAAAGTAGGTCTATGGACAAATGAGTTAAGCCAGTCTTCAGCCATCTACTGTGTAGCCTACCTGGTATTCATATATAGGCTATGCTAACTTTAGAACGTCATATGTTAACAATCAGAAACTGCTTGCATGTAGCATCCACAATCAATTAAAGAAGTGGTCTTTTGGTTCTGCCAGCAGAAGAAAAATGTCATAAAACGAGTTCATTTCAGATTGTGCATCCATGCTTTATGGGTAGACTAATTAAAATCACACCAATTGATTCTGTAATTGCACAAGATTAATTTGTGTAAAATGTCTCTTGTTTAGCCCATTTGTACATTTGTACTAGCCTATCTCAAACAATAGTGGTGTCATTTTCATGAGGCCTGCCATAAGCTGGTTGTTTTTCAATACAGTAAATGAATCGGTTTAAATTACTTAACTCTATGGTGATCCGCTCTTAATTCTCCAAGTGCTGTTTTAGGTGAGATTTTACGATGTGAGAAACATAACCTTGCAGTTGTCCAAGTTGACCTCATCCATGTTGCCTTACTTTACATCCCAGCCAGGATCCTACTACAGTGATGCTTTATTCTTCATATCTTTAGGCCTTCATCAAGTGGCCCCTGAATCCCAAAACAGAGCAATCATGTTAGATGTCGACACAAAAGTTGTCGCTGATATAGCACTTCTCTTTCATGAGTTTAACAGGTAAGAATTATCTTGCTAGCCTACTTTCTTATTTTATACTTCTTTAAATCAGTAGCCTAGACTGCCTTTCTACTTTCTAGTAAAATTTCCTTTCCATGAATTAGCAATTAGCTATTACTGTAGTCTAGTGGGTTTAAAACTACTGTGAGCTGTTTATTTTAAAACGTTTTTATTAGCTCGCTTTCTTATCCGGTACAAATTTTGCAATCAATTTTATACCAACTTCCCGATGAGCTAGAGACTTGAAACTTGAAAAATCGTTCACAAATGGAAGGCAATGCAATATTATATCATTTAATTTTTATATTTCCCTTGGGCTACGCCCCATGGGCTTGTTTTGTACAAATTTAGCAAAAATATTTATCAGTCTTTTCAGTGATATGAACAATTGCATTCATCATGTAACTAAACTGCAAACAAGGCTTTAAATTTATTCCATACTCAAAGCATTTAATCACAGGTTCGGGAAGAGAGCAGTGTTGGGTATTGCTCCGGAGTTGTCACCGGTCTATCACCACATTCTGTACTTGTATCGCAACCACCACAAGCATTCTCGCCTTGGAGCCCCTCTTTCAACCGGCGGCTTCCCCGGGGTCAACAGCGGTGTCTTGCTACTTGACTTCCAACGTCTTCGCTTGTCTGATGAGTACAACCAGCTGCTGAACCCGGACGCAGTCAAACAGATGGTGGATAAGTACAGCTTCAAGGTGGGCTCAGGTTTTGTTATTTTGATTTAGGCTACATTTACATATCTTTTTCTCAGAATCAAAGTTAATTTTTAAGTAATTTTAGGAATTTGGGACTTTGGGAGGGATTATTTCTCCTTGTAGTTTTGGAAAAGAGGATTTAAAAAAAATTTTTTGTGATAAGAAATTTTCACAAAAAGAAGAAAATATCACAAAAAAAAATCAAGACTCACCAACCTAGTCAAAGGTTGGTGAGTCGTGATCTGTTTTATGTTACACACACTCACTCCTCCACTCACTCCACTATCCTCACTCACTGTCATGCTAATTACACTAATCCTTAGCAATATATTTTATGCTTAAATACGCCCAGATGCATCCTCATCTTAATTAGTAGTAAAATAGGGCTTGAATAACTTTTTTAATGAGTTAATAGATTGGCTTTATTTAAAACACGAGACATTCCATAGCAAGAACCTTTGATTTAACTTTGAGCACTTAAAGATATCTAGCAATTTGCCATTGGCCCCAGACTGACCTTTTGTATCTAAAAAAGGATAATGTGTATATATCAAGTCAAAATATATCATCCACACTAGAGATTTATAGTCAAGATACAGTCAAAGAGAGGTGTGTTGCTAGCCTATTGGTTAGTGTCTTGGACATCGATGCGGGAGAGACGAGTTCTATTCCTGGCACACAAACGAAAAGTGTTTGGACTGCTTTCCCTTAAAAGTGTTTAAATTTGTACTTCTTTTTTAATGCCATACTGGCGTAGAAAAAAAGTGATAAATACTTAGTTGATGTACATGGGATGTGGATGTACTTGATACAAATATACATTCAGTTGATTCCTTGGTTTTCTCAAGAGAGTACTATAAATACTAGTAGATTTTACATTCTTAGTCAGCGTCTACAACCCATTTTAACAGTGTGAATGTAACTCCCAGGGTCATCTTGGAGATCAAGACTTTTACACTCTGGTAGGGTTTGAGCGCCCCCATCTGCTACACCAACTGTCGTGTGGGTGGAACCATCAGTTGTGCGAGTGGTGGCGAGACCACGGCTACCGGGATGTATTCGACAACTTCTCCCATTGCAGTGAACCTACCCTACTGTACCACGGTAACTGCAACACACCTATTCCGCAGGACTAATGTCCCTCTATTCCACGTTCACCTTGCACTACGTTTTGTCTAATAGCCATGTATTTTAATTTCGTATAGACGCTATCTACGTACATGTTACCGCTTATCTTCCGGTGTACAGATAGTTTTCTCTTGTCTTAAGTAAGCTAGGTACTATCAGGAAAGAATGTCTGTTGTTTGAATCTTTTAAATTTTTACTTTCTATTGTAAAATTTAGGTTCAAAGTAGATGAACGATTATTAGTTTGAATCACTAAGCAGGTGATTTCATTAAAGAGTAAATTTAGGTTTTATCTTTACATTATAACTTATATGGTTCTCCAAAAAGTTGTATAGTATCTTTAAACAATCTTTTCCTCATCAGTATTTTGTGAACAAATTTGTAAAAGCCATAAGGACTATATATTTATTTCTCAAATGATTCTGTCTTTGACCTACATCTAGTTATGTTTGCTGTGTTAGATTATAGTAGCCTACCAAGCCTGTTTATTTTAATGTTAAAGTCTAAAGTCTACATATTGACAAAGATAGGCCTACCGTAGTAATTCATTTACAATAGTTTTACATGTTAAATATCTTAAAGTGCTTCTAAACTTTGTTTTATCTAATTGTATGTAACAAAATGTGATACATCTATGTTAATTATCTTTAAACATTCCTAAATCATACTGGTACAAATCTTTTCTTGCCATATGTTACGATTTGTGTTGTGGTATAGCTTATTTGTGTATATTTGTTTGATTGAAAAATATTGTTTTGTCATTCGGTACTGCAGCAAAAACAGCTGTTTTTAATACATGTCTTACGGGTCTAAAGTAACTCTTTTACTTCCTAGGGAGTAGGCCTAATTAGCTTCTTTTTAGTCGTCCCTAGGGAGTAAAAGTCAGATGAAAACTTTGATTGTAATCAACCGCTTATTTCAACATTATGTCTAGATTGATTCTATTGGTTGCAGCTTATTTTTGCATTCTTGTCAATAGTTCAAAATTGATAGTATAAATACAGTAGAACCTCGCTAATCTGTCACCTACGGGACCAGTAGCATGGTCGGAACAGCAAAAAGGTCCTATTTTCAGAGGAACCTTTTTATTGACATAAAAACGTAGTAAAACTGTATTTTGAACAGACCACGGCTAACTGATAACCACGGTTAATCCAACATGACATAAACAGTTATTTCCAACTAAAAAAAAAACGCCTAAATACTAACAAACTGTACTGAGCGGGAGCGGGGCGATAGCGGGCCCGCCGCTGTAAAAACTTTGTCAAAATTGTGCAAGCGATAGCGGTAGCCCTTGGTCAACGGAGAATGGAAGGGAGACACAGTATTGCCAACTCAAACTCTGCCAAATAATTGACACAACTATTTGTCGTAAGTGCACGTGCGCATGGGTTAAGTTGGCAACCCTGGCTGCTCCCGCTCCCGCCGTGCATAAACAGTCTCATTTGACTCAATGTAGCTGAAAACCGCTCTATCCCAAGCAACCGCTGCGATTTCTAACTACACAACGGTCGAATTAGAAACCGCATCGGGAGGTCAACCGCTACCGCTATCGCTCTTCGTGCATAAACAGCCCCATTTAACTCAATGGTGTTGAAAATCGCTCCCGCTCTTGGTGCATAAACGGGGCCTAAAGGAGCAGACATTGTCGGTGCAAACGGATAGCTTGAAGCTTTCATCGACATTCCTTTGTTTTGCTTCTGTTTTAATCTTGTCAAATGAACTGTGATTTTTCAAAAACAATGTGGGAGCCTACTTAATATTAATAATAGGCATAAATGGTTAAATATACAACAAATTTCAACACATTAGACTAAAAAAAAACACAATTTATAAAGTTTTTTAGGTATTTTTCTTGGACAATGAGGTTATGTTAGTGGAAGCCTATTGTGTTGGCGGCGCGGTCGCACCAAGCGAGGAGTCGGACCATATGAGGTCGGATTAGCGAGGTTCTACTGTACAATAACACAATCGTAATAGACAAAATCATTGAATCACTCACTAAACATCTGCTTGTTTGCATTTGCAAAACTAAAAATAAGCTGGAAGTAGTTTTTCACCACACTATGATGTTTTTTAACTGTTTTACATACGTTAATTGGTGGCCGAAATTACGTTTTGCTGGCCATTCCAGGTGTCGTCATCATTTGGGGACCAAGCAGGTTTTTACATCACTAGCCACAAAATCAGCTGCCCGCTTATTTCTTAAAACATGAAAGCATATTAAATACACAATCAGTGTCCATAGCTATGCAAATGGATTGTTTTATTGTCACCGCTGCCTAGCAACTATTCATTATTTTTTTGCTGATTCCTCAAATTATTTCTTCACATAACCTTGAAGTTGTAGTTGTGTTGACTATCAGTGTGCATTATTATTGTGGTGAATAGTGGTAATAGGGTATAGTGTGGTGAAAAATAGCGTTTGTACCATGGACCGAAATGGTTTTGCTGCTCTCGATCGTTTTAGAAACTATCACAAGCCGACAAAACCTCATTTTCGGCCCTCGGTACGAAATATACTACTGAGAGCTTATCTTAGATGAAAAGTATTTACGTTTTCTAAATAAGTTTATTAAATCATGCTGCAATATGATGAAAAATTTAGTTCATCACTCGGACAAAAGGTGTCTCACCCTCCGAGCTCATAGGTCACTTAACGCCCTAGTGATAAAATATACCATTATCATCTGAGAATTGTATATACTACAGCTTTTATCTTTTACTTGGTTTCTTACCTGTAAAAACTTATTTATAAGGAACAATTAACATTAATAAAAAAGTATATTTAGGCCCGCACCACACTATCCCGTTTCCCTGGTCCGGTCAAATGGGACCCGTTTGGCGGGATGATTTGAACTCATGGGTTTTACTTTGAGCGGTCACATTGTTGCGGTTGCGGCGCAATGACGGGATCCACTGTATGGTACTCCGTCGTAGCAGGACAACCGGATAAAAGGCGAAATACATGCAGTTAAATGAGAGCAGCCACACTATCCGATTGAGCACATGGACAAGTCTATTGAATGTGTCCACGATCAACCTGCTTTTTGGGATAAACGCCTTTAAGAGTTCTCTGAAAGGAAAGGAATGAACGAGAGAAATGTTGATCTTAGAATTAATAAATTGTGTGCTAATTTTTGTTAAATGTGGCCTCAAAATCTCCTGCAGCTCAACAAAAGACGTGATGAACATTCTATAATAATTAAAAAACTTGCAAGGATATTGCCTTATACTTTCTTAAACTGTTCATCTCTATAAAATATAGGTCCCTTAGTTGCCATTAGCTGTATGGGCTATTAATTAACAGCTGTGGCTAAGGAATGTCGGCCTTAGTCACTAACAAGACTACAAGATCGTGCCACTCATCCTTCACTCAAACATTCATACTTGGCTTAAAATACCTACTTTGTATGGTCGCCATTTCATTGAACAGTATAAGAGTATGATTTTCGCAATGAAAAGGGTGTACCCAATAACGCCTACAAAAAGGTTTTCGCAACAAACCACTTGCTTCAAGCACAGAGCACATACAAATTTATCCTTGGACAACATTGTAATGTTGTCACCATCAACAGTGCACTGCATGTGATGCTCGGCACTCTTTCATTCGACGTTTGCTCGTTGCGGTAGAACAGGACAAGTGTGACAGGGCAATGGCAATGCAGTAAAAATGCATCCCGCTTTAAGCCGCATCCAGCCAAACGGGATAGTGAGGTGCCGGCCTTATTGTTAAACTATTTAGATTAAGTATTTTATATCACACTTAAATTTAGTTTACGTAAATGCCTTACAAACTGATTTCACTGTGTGACATTGGTAGAAATGTGCATATATTCTAAGGATCCTTTATATCATAAATCAGTTTTATTTTAATGGGAGATGGACAAAATAGCTTTCCAGTTCAAAAATTAGTGATACCACACAATGTTTTGGGTCCAAATCTTTTATGTGTTTGTCATATTATAATTGCAGGTTAGTTTAAAAACTGCCAATGGAAAATTGTTCAAAATTTTCATTTGGGCCTCAAAATAGTTAGACTTTTCTTGATATCAGGATTTTGATATCTCATACAAATGTCTGCAAATGTCTGAAAAACATGTTCATGTCTAGAATGCATAATCTGAAATTATCTAAAGAAATTGGACTAATTTGCATTATTTTTAATAGTTTGGGGGAGTTTTGTTGATTCCAAAATCTTTAATCAATTTTAATACACTTTATACCACAACAGGGAGAAAATGAAAAGTAATAATTCAGACATGTTTTAATAATGCATTATAACTCTTGTTAGGGTGGTCCACTATTTTTCTCATTAGTTACCATTTGTTCTTGCCAGTTAATTTTTTAAATAGGCTACCTAATAATGATATTTTTATTGATACTGTAGCTTGTTTAATGGTTTGATATCAGATATCCACTAGTTTGTTACTGCACTTGTGTTTAATATTTAAATTTAGGTTAACTTACAGGAAAATTGGGTCTAACTAATAAGTTTGACTAATGTTGTTATATTAGATTTGAATTATTGTTGTAGAAATCATTCCTCAGTTAAAGTTATTTATCATTGTTTTATTTACAATTAAGAACTTTATGTAATGTTATAGTGGTTTGAACATATTTATTTTATAGTTTTATATATATGAGGCCTATTGTATAGCCATTAGCCAATAAGAGTGTACCATATTATAGTAGAACCTCGCTAATTTGAACCTTGATAATTCAAAAACTTCTATAGTTAGAAATGTTTGCCTGTTCCCCTCAGAAAACCTCTAAAATTCAAATAATAATATACCAATGATTCAAAGTGATTTCACGCTTAATGCAGTCTACATTTCAAATTTTGTTGCCGTAATTTAAACTGTTACCTCCAAAATGTGAAGTCAACCTCTACAATTCAAACTGTGTTACCGTAAGCCTCTGTAATTTGAATTCAGGACAAAACAATTTGCCTGTTGAAATATGAACTGACACTCTCATTGATGTTCCCACAATGTGTCCATTAGTCTTCGTTCTCTCAAACTCTCTACACTTAAAACTGGGACCTCCATGATTTGAATTTTATTTATTTTGACTTTTTATAAATCAAACTCACTATATTTCAAACTTCCCGTAGTTCGAAATATATTGCCTTTCCTCTGAAATTCGAATTAGGAAGGTTCTACTGTACTTACTATCAAAATGTGAAAAAGACAAACTTATTTATAAATTAGATTCTTTTTTTAAAAGGTTCTAGAAGAAATGTTTCCATGACGTAGAATTTCAGATAACTTACCGATCTATAAGTAAATGTACATACAATTTTATAAAGATTTTTATTACAAATATATTTGTATAAGTGTACAACTATATGCTTCCTTAACCTTAGTAAGTCAGCTCTTTTCCTTTTGGGCAGGATTAGTCAAGGTAGTGAAACAATTTCAATTTCACTTCACTAAATCAAACCGACAATGTCGGTTTGATTTTTGTTTGAATGATTGGCAAAGAAGTGTTTCACTTTCAGCAGACCTCAAATTAAATAATTTTTGAATTCTGTTTAGCCTAATGCTGTGTTAATTGTTGCATTGATGAAATACCAATAAGCCTCCTATGACACACTAGATGATGAAAGATAAACGGGTGAAACAGAATTGCATCTAAATATACAAAAGGCAAAGCCCTCACTCACTCACTCACTCACTCATCACTAATTCTCCCTCTTCCCATTTACCTACGAGGCTGAAATTCGGTACACCGATTCTTTGGTCATTAAATAGGAAAACTAAGTACGGTGCGGAAGTGTGGGCAGACGCTCTCAATAAGGAGATATATAGGATGCGGCCCAGGCACTCCCGATGACGTGGAACACACTTTCTTCCACTGCCAGCGTTGGGAAAGGCCCCGCCTGGAGGCTCAACAGTTTGTAGGACTGCTGTCGGTAGACACGGTCATACCGATGATGATGGAGGGTGAGGACAATTGGACCTGTGTGTCACTTTACATCCAGGGTGTTCTCCGCGCCAAGAAGCTCAACCTTGGCCGGGATGCGGTGTAGGTGATAAAAAAAATAATGCCAGAAACGGTGCGAGCCCTTTGGGCTTAGGTCACATGTTGGCCTGACTTGAAGTAATGTGACAAACAATTCCAGGTCTGTGTCCAACAGAGCAGAGGGGGTTTTTTTATTCTGTGTGCGTAAAAGCATTTTCCCTCCTCACCCTAAAAAAAAGGTAGTTAGCCGTTAGCCTGTATGTTAGCCTGTATGTTTCGGGACTGGGGTGGAAATAAGGACCCCTTAATCCCCTTTTATGCACCTGCGGCAGCCACTGTGATTCTGTAAGTATATTGTCTCAAATAGGTGCTTTTATGCACTGCAGTGCGGCCCGCACAATAGTTGAGGCCCCAGTCCAGTGCGGCGGACCTAGGAAACACAGCTTTTTTGCGGCTGTAGGTAGGCTACATTGGGTCTTATGGGAGCTTTTATGCACTGCAGCGCGGGCCGCAACCGCTGTCAGTGCTACCAACCCTCCCCATCACAGTTGATATAAAAACCTGCGGCGCCGCAAGTTCCAAAACACACGCATGCGAATTTCGCAGCGCTATGTTTTTTTTGCGGTGCGATAAAAACGCAACCGCAGTGCATAAAAGGGGCCTAAAAAACAAACGTGGGATCAAACTTACCTGGTTTACTGTATTACATTAAATATTATCATAGATAAAACATACTCCTCAAGTAGATCTTTCACCCCGTGCTAAGCGTTGAAGCTCGGGAAAATTGGCGCGACCGCTGCGGTCTCTGGTGGATTTCTCTGAAACCTACGTTCTCGGCATCTGTTCAATACCGCTACGTGGCCAATTCAGGAACTGAAGTAGTGTGATGGCGAGTGGAAGGCTGTGGCGAGACGAGCGACGACGGATAGCCAAACCAACGCAGACACTAGATACTGATACTACACTTACACTAGTGGCAGTGGCAGTGCGATGGTAGACGCGTTTGATAAGTGTACCTACTTGATATGCGTGTGCAAGTACCACTTTTAATCATCGTTCCAGCACTCACGCGACTGCAATATTATTTCATCTTGTCCCTGAATCGTGAAATAAAATATCCTATACCTCGACACAATACCCTGTCATAATTTAATTTTTAAGTATATACGCAAGTATGCTCTATCACCCACGCCGTATACAATTTGTTCTGTTCAAGTTATTGCCTTAAGGCTGACGGGGCTAAAATTAAGTTTGGTATAGTGATGTAATAACAATGCAATTTGAGATGTTTATCCTACAACAGACTATTTTCTATGAACACACAGATTTTTTTATCCTTTTAATGATTTCGGGCGGAGAGGAAATCGTCTTGGACACTCAAAAACCCGTGTCAATGAGTAGTGCCGGACTCTTACCGGCTAAAAAACTCCGCATATACAAACGAATGTAAGTAAAACAAATTTAAAAACAACTGTATTATTTTTTGATTGAATTTTGAATAGCCAGTCTAAAAATTGTAGTGTAAGGGTTAGTCATAAAACCATGTAATGAAGTCACTCAAGAATGTAAGAACTAAAAACAAATATAAAACATATAACTACAGTATTATCTTAAGATTGAATTTTTAATTGCGAGTCTAAAAAATGAATTTTTAGTGTGAGGATTAGTCATAGAACCCTTTAACGAAGTCCCTCTATTTGTTTTTCAATTTCATAATTTTCTCCCAATGGCCACCATACTTGCCACCAGGCTGTCTCAGCTCCCTTGACAATCTTGACATCGACTGGAGGGATCTTTTAATCTTTGCCAAAACAATTTTTTTAAGCAGGTACATTCTATGTTGTAACAATTTTTGAATTGTTGTTAAGCCATTGTGGATAGATTTTAAAGATTCTCCTCTTTGCCCTCAGCATTACATGCGTTGTTATTCCTACTTTCTCTATGTTACTCTTAAGAGTCACATTCAATAGATCAAGTAACATGTCCACCACATCCACTGTTTTGTCAGATGGGTACGACAAACTGTTGCACTCTGCAAAGTATTCTTTGTTTTGAATAAGGGCTTCTTCAGAAGTTTCTTCAGCTGAAAGTGGCTTCAGAAGGTCCTTTTTGCAGTCTGAGCATTGAAATTTCTTTAGGGTAGCTCTGACGCCGTAGCCGGTGAAATGCCTGATAAAATGTTACAATTTTTTAAATAATAATTACCGGGTAAGAGAATCTCATGTTTTATATGAAACCTTTATACTTTTATACATAACTCAGCTTTATAGCTTACTAGTTGTTGTACCCGTGCTTTGCATCAGAAAGAGGACACAAAATAGAAACATTTTAATCTTTACATCCGTTGCAAATAATAGTTACACATCCGCCAACGCTTTTAGGAACAAAATTCAACTTTTATGGCCTTAATAGAAACGTTTAAGTTATGACTTTTAAATCTGGTGTAAGTAGTGGATACCACCATTTTGGTTTTGATTAATTTTAAATCTTGTGTAGGCTGATATGAGAAAAACTGACCAAATCTTCAAATAAAACTTTGACATACATGATTTACCTTCATCTCCCTTAGTTACATATCTATTAATTTATTATTGACATTTTAAATTTCAATTTTGAAGTTGCACTAATTATAAAATTTAAATGAACATTTTTTAAATTTCCCTCCTTATATTAAACTAGCTGTAACCCGCGGGCTTTGCCCCGTTTAACTTCTTAATTTTCAAGATGATCTCGTTCGCATGGCTCAATCACGTCCTGGTTGAAGTTCGTTCGCATGGCTCAATCACGTCCTGGTTGAAGTTCGTTCGCTACGCTCACTCACCTTTAGGTTGGAGCTCGTTCGCTACGCTCACTCACCTTTAGGTTGGAGCTCGTTCGCTGCGCTCACTTGCCTTCAGGTTAGCTCGTTCGCTACGCTAACTCGCCTCCAGGTTGAAGTTCGTTCGCTACGCTCACTCACCTTTTGGTTGCAAATTAGCTGTTGTCATAAATGTAAAAGAGCTAATAGTGCTGCGCCCTGTTGGTAATCCTTGTAACTTTAATGCTATTGAACATTATAGAACAGAACCAACTTGTTTAATTGAAACAGCTGTTAAGATTCATTAATTCCATTTCTCATAAGGTTAACATGGGAAACTCCAGAGCCACTGGGGTGGTGTATAAACCTATTCCATGAAATTCTACACGTATGTACCAAGTTTCGTGGCAATCGGTTCAGCGTTGTCTGAGTTTATCACTGCCAAACAAATATATACAGGGTTGGGCAAATGTGTGGATACCCCTAGTTAACTTTTTAACGCGTTGCAATAGGAAAACCAAACTCGGCACATATTTACAACATAAGAAATTGCACTTTTTCATCAAAGTTACAACTTTGCCCCAGCCCCCAAAATGGGGTATTTTGGGGGCAGTCCTAAATTTTCAAATGTAAACACCTATCATGTGACCCATAATTTTAAAGGGTTTATCAAGGGAAATTGAATGGCGCAAACCAGAGGTCAATATCCCACGCCTAGACAAAATGGCAGCCATTTTGAGGCAATATCCTATCCTATATAATATCCTAAGATTCAAAATAGTTACATTGTAATGTTGTCACCATCAACAGTGCACTGCATGTGATGCTCGGCACTCTTTCATTCGACGTTTGTTCGTTGCGGTAGAACAGGACGAGTGTGACAGGGCAATGGCAATGCAGTAAAAATGCATCCCATTTATCAGAACCAAGTGATAAATAAAACGCTACTTGAAATGCCAATTACAAACTTGCTTATTATTAACTTGTAGTAGAGGGCTTTTTGAAATGTGGATTATTTTTAACACAGATTCTTGGATTCTGTGTTTTAACTCTTTCTATAATAATTTAAAAATTATTATTTTTTTGGCCACTTGTTTTTTTTCATGTTATTGAAACTCTTATAAGTATATATAATGTCACATATATATATAAATTCACACACACACACACACACATATATGTGTGGTCTTACCATGAGACCTACGGTAATAGCTTATTCCCTATATAGACCATGAGCCACCAATATGAAACCCTCCCCCCCCCCGTGGGAATTTATGACTTATACTTTTTTTTGTTGGTATTACCTACCAGATTAAGAATTCAGTTGTTTGCCTCTTATAAATTACAGCGTATTCCGGAAAATAAAGAAAAACTGTTAAATTTAAAAACTGTTTTATTTAAATTACAAAAGGGTAGCCAGCGTCAATTACTGGTGCAATATTTTTTTATGGACTTCTTTAGTATGTATTCAAAGGCTTTAAATGAAAATAAAAAGTTAATAAAATACCCCCGCTGCAGCAAACCTGCAGGCAATGCGGATTACAAATTGGCCTGAATTGATTTTCAATTAA